TGTAATTTGAAACATCATTTACTCTGCATAGCTGTAATGCATGCCATTATAAACGTGTACAAACAGGGGCAAACGTGATGCAGGGAGGATTCCCCTGTAGAGAAGAAAACGTGACTCATAAAATACTGATAAGGTGTGGCCAATACTCTTATGGGGACGGACAGAGGAGGATTTCCAGTGGTGTCACTAGGGAATGTGCTAGTGGGGCAAAATGCAGAAATAGTGTCAGTAGACTAGACCAGTTTAATTCCGCCCAACAACGATCTGTCCTTGTAGCCTACAGCATTTGTGACCCCTATTATAAGCACTGTATGTGTAAATGACCTCTGATCTGACAGTGGTAAGGTCCCTGTTTGTTCTGTTAGGTTTAAGCATGGTGGGTGGGGCCGAGCCAGGGTCTCAACTCTGCAGGAGGAGAAGCAGGTAAATAGATTTATTATATTCTACAGTCCACTTTCCTTAATATTCATCTAACTCTATGATTTTTGGTTTGAAGAATGACTTCAAAGCCTTGTCAGAAAATGTAGTTACAAAATGTATTTGTGATTCATTAAAAAAAAAAAACAGTGGATTCTGACAAGGTTTTCACAGGAATTTGCTCTGGTATTTTGTTTCATGATGGTCACAAAAAACATAGAGAATAGAGACAAGTAGCCTACTGCAAGGAAACAATCATAACATATAAATAATAATACATAGCAGAAATATGAAAAAATCTTTATTTATTTTTTATAGAAAATAGTTGAACTAAGAAAGAGGATTAAGACACTGACCTCAATATTAGTTTAATTTGAAATTAAATTAGCTTGTGTAAGCAAAAACAATGTAACTGTAATTTTCCAAATACTTTCTCCCGCTACATTGTACCTCAAAAAATGCCCAAAACTTGTATTGGCGTTATTATTAGGCCTAAGTCTTTAATACTTAAGATTAAGAATATTCTTAAAATGCTCCAAAACCCAGGATGGAGTCAAAGAAAATAGACTCCCCCTATTCTTGAGGACGAGATGGTACATCCCAGTCTCTCCTCCTCTCCCTCTCTTTCTCCTCCCTCCTGCTTACAGTGTCCTCCATCGCTCCGCTTTCTCTCATTTTCTTATATTAAGGACATTCTCACTTCCAGAGACTGCTGCAGTTCCTTCGTCATATGTTATTTTTGTAATCTCTACAGAGCTCTTGGAGAGGTATGTATTGTCCATATTTCTTCTAATCAATGCATGATGTAATCGGAAGTTTATTTGTAAAGCCTATATTATGTAATGTGCAAGCTGCTATGATGCGTTTATTCAATAACAGCATTTTTTTTTCACCTTAATTCCCCCCCCCCCCCTCATTTGCATTTCACTGATTTCCTCGCAGTGATGATGGTCCTTATTTCTTTCCTCCATCTTGCCCTCCATTTATAGCACACATGACTCATGCAGTTTAACAGAGTGAGAACAGAGAGTGGGATAAGATCAAATCTACATGTGTTTGTGTCTGGATTAGGCTCTTTCTCAGAGAAATATAGATTCAGTCCTTGACTCAGAATAAACTCAGCTGTTAGAGTATACTTCCTCCATTACAAAACTGATAGATTTTCCCATGAAAAAGCTATACACAGGAAGCTGCCATAAAAAAATGTCACTGTCATATTGTGTCACAGCTGCTGAGACCAAAATAAACTATTCCCTGTCCTCTGAGCATCAGCGTGTTCCTATCAATGTCATCTTTTTCCAAGGTCACTTTAAGGCCCACCACCACACCGCTGCTCAGCTGTACAGTGAACACATGGATTCAAAGGCTTTCATATTCCAGTGTCTCTACGCTCAGCAGAGCAGATAACGTGATGGATAATAGAGGGATAATCTTTGTCTGTTTGCTGTGTTTCCTCAGTGAAGCAGCACAGAGCTGACCTTATAAAGAATCCTCCTGACCAGACCACACCTCTGTCCCTGAGTCCATGGAAGCCAAGGCCAAGTCCGGGGCTACAGCACCCAAGGCGGCACCTAAAGTGGAGAAGAAGGAGCCAGCAGCCCCACGCAAGGCTGATCCTGCCCCTGCAGCCCCTGAAGCCCCTGAAGTCCCTGCAGCCCCTGAGCCCGAGCTTCCTCCTGCCCAGGATGGGGCAGCAGAAGCAGAAGCAGAGGCGGCAGGTGACGAGGCTGCGGCCTCCGGCACAGACTCTCTGGAACACCTGAAACCTTTTCTCATTGGTGGAGTAGTTATTGCTGCAGGAGCCATCTTGCTGGGAGTGTTGCTACTGGCACGGAGAAATTAAACCAACTCATTATCTCAAATTAAAGTATGAATTGGATGATGAGTTAGAGCATTGTTATAGACTATTATGGTACAGATGGGGGAATGGGAGCCACTGTGCGTCTTATGTTTGTTTGTGTTTTGGCCTGCTTTCACTTGTAGTGAATCAAACCATTCAATTTTTGACATGGAGCATAATTACACATAATATATGCATGATGTTGCTTCATTACTGCATCTGTACTGTAATCAATTCCTTTAAAAAAAAAAAACACTGTAGTTCTGAGCTACAAAGCCTCAACTCTTTAAAAGTAGTTTATTCAACTGCTTTATCTTGTCTAATCCAGTTTACATATATATTGACATCCTAGCAATATTTGTGAATTCTTACTCTAAATTATTCTAAATCTGCTGGTTCACTAAATAATAATGAAAAACTATCCACAATCTTGAAACATTATAATTTTAATACTGGCTATCAGAGTTGTTGTAGGTCTTATTTTACTTATTTTTTGTTTTTAAACTATCTAAAGGGAATACCTGAAATTAGATGAAACTATGCATTGTGATGTATTGCACTTATTTTGGCTAAACAAATGCCTAAATGATGGGATTCAGTTAAGAGACACTGCATACCCAAAACATGTCAAAGGGTACAGTGCAATAAAAAAGAAAATATAAGCATGCAGTGGTTTAAGAAATGGGATGTAGAGGATTGTAAGAGATAAAACATGTACAGTATGTTTTAGACAATAATAGTGAAGTTACCTCTTGCTAATAAGAAAAAGTAATTTTTCTGTCAAATGATGTCACAAATCAATTAACCTTTCATGTCTCACACACCATCCACAGTGGTGTGGGTTCATTCTGTTTTACATCTTACAGTAGATACTTTGCTGTAACAGGGTGGACAGCCATTAGTCTTGCATTATCAGGTTTAAAGCCTGCTTCATTGTTTATGTCTTCATTGTGTTCCACTAATGTAGTTTTAGGAAAAAATCTATACTTAATTCATACGTGCAACTGTTATTTAATGAGAGCAGCGTATGTTTCTACTACATTGAAAGTAGGGTGTAGTGCACTTTAGGGGAGGAAAAAAAGTGAAGCATTCACAATTCTTGAGCAGCAACACTCACCTGTTCAGCTGTACACAATAGTGCCCACTTACATGTACTGTCAAAGCCATAGTGAGGCCCTCTGCTCCATAAGTAGATAACAGAAAGACAGTTCTGATTCGCACCATTATTTTATATAAGTTGTAACAGTACTTGTGAATTTCACAACACATTACTGGCAAAAAATAGTGTACAAACATACCTCAGTGAACACCAAAACACAACCAATAGATGGTAGGCCAACACCAAAACAAACTTCACCCGACATTGTACAATACAGTGTACTTAAAAAAAAAATCCTATTTTCATTATTTCAACAGCGTATACATGCAATAATTCTGATAGGACTCCTTATTTAGCACTTGTGCTGTAGCAAGTTAAACTACATATATAATGATGTAATAATATTGTTGGTAGTGATTATGATGTATATTAAAGATGGCAACAAGTGATGTATGCTGATGGCAATGATGGCGTTTTTCATGGTGACTAACGATAATGACAGTTATGATATATTTTTTATATATTTCTAACATTTGTTCCTTATGCACACACCCTTCTGCCCTCAAACTTCTAAATGTAAAAAGGAAATAAACATAATCCAACCTTTAATAAAGACAGTGAACCAGCCCAAGTGTGTATTTCAATTATTCAGAATTAAGGATCATATTGCAGCTCAATTAATTAATTAACAATTATTCTTTTGAGTTGAAGATTCAACTTTATTGTCATTGCATAGTACAGGTACTAGTAACAAAACGGTTTCTCTGCATTTGACCCATCCTAATGTTAGGAGCAGTGGGCTGCCATTATGTACGGCACCCGGGGAGCAGTGTGTAGGGAACAGTGCCTTGCTCAGGGACACCTTGGTAGCACTCTGTCTTTCCGGGACTTGAACTGGTTGCCAAGCCAAGTCCCTATGGACCTTGCCACCACCGCAAACTTAATTTGGCCCTAATAAATCTTCATGCAGATGTCTGATTTTTTAAAAATATTTTAAATTCTTCTTGTTCCTATGTACATTTCCAATTTGGAAACAGAGCGAAGTCATTTTGGTGGATGAATAACCTTTAGATTTGGTGATTTCCTTGAATAGCTTCTAGGTCCATATTTTGGTAACTTCAACAACAAAGTTCTTGGTTCAACTGTTCATCAGCAGTCAGAACACACTTCATCACCAATCTCTAGACTGTTTTACGAAATAAAGAAAGATATACTTTGAAACGTGTAACAGGGGCACGCTTATCAGAATAAAGTGAGGGAGATGTCAGCAAAGCATGTTCCTAGGTCTGCTCAGCCAAAATCAGTGAAAAAACACCACTGCACAAAATGGTAGAATGGTGGCGTGTTTAGGGGCACCTGCAGTTTGTCAGTATACACACATTACAGTGGCAGTCACAAATGTACATTCTTACTGGAGTCAACCCCAATGCAGTGTGACACAACAGCCCTGTAAGAGTTGTGTAGCTTCATGGAGGTTGTTAATGTATTATCAGTTTTTTTTATCAACTTTTTAATGCATTTAGTCAACGTCATGAGCCATTTTGGAGATCTAAGTCTGTAGCAGATTAAAGCTTTTATGTTATACAGGCCATTCTTGTAATACCATTGAGGGGGTATTTAATAAATTGTACAAGCTAAGAATAAGTAAGCCTTTGTGAGAGTTGCGCTTTTATTTTGAAGGAAACGGGCAGGAAGTGTGCATCGAGATAACGAGGGATTCTAAGCTACGCAGCTACCATCACTTTCTTGCTGCTCGTTTCTCTCATAATAACATACAATTCAACGTTTTTTGTAAACTATATTGCTTACGGTGAGTACATTAAAAGTTTTAAGACTTGGTTTTGACTGGTGAATGACTAAGGTTATGTAAACTCATGGCAACGTGTTATTGGCGGCCAACGTAAGCTAACAGTGGACTGTTGTGCTAAACGCGTGGCTACCATGGGCTCACTTTTCGTTACACTCTTGACTTGGGAAGCTCCATTCGGGTTTACGCTTCTATATACAGTAGCCCATGAAGCTCACAAGTACTTTCGCGTTAATGTTTTTAAACGAAAACAGGTTTAGTTAAGCGTTGTAGCTAGAATGTTAGCAAAACATTAGCTATCCGGTAACAGCAATAACGTTCAGACAATCTTAGCAAAACATGTCAACATAGTGCTTTTATCAAAATGTACATGTCGTTTTATTAATACAAGCGACACATATGATATGACTTGTATACTTTATTGCTATTTGCATGGCATGCTCACCCACTCAGGTAGCATAGTTACCATATGTGTTTCCCTCTGCCCAGGTGTCCTACAATGATCATCCCTGTCCGGTGCTTTACGTGTGGGAAGATCGTGGGAAACAAATGGGAGGCATACCTCGGCCTACTTCAAGCCGAGTACACTGAGGGGTGAGATATTGCTTGTTTCTGTCATTGCACTACATCTCTACACATACTGCCATTAGGAGCTCATAGGTACCCTTAAGTACCTTGCATTGGAGCATCTGCGCCAAAGTAATTTTCTAGAAGCAGTCTGGAAGTACAACACATCAGATTTGATCCTATTCATCTGCCACAAGGTATGGTCATGTACTCCAAGGTTTTAAGTAGTCCACATTTAGACTTGTGATGCAATGAATAATAGCCATTACCTGAGGCCATTTACGCTGTTACCCTGACTATTATCTGCACTAATGCTTTACTTATTCATTCAGCCTGTATGCCATGCATTAGGACTAACGTTGCTTTCTTCTTCCCTCTTAAGTGATGCTCTCGATGCCCTGGGCCTGAAGAGATACTGTTGTCGGCGGATGCTCCTGTCTCATGTGGATCTTATTGAGAAGTTGTTGAATTATGCCCCTCTGGAGAAGTGATCATATCTGGCCACCTTCAAGAACAGCATGGACTTTGTAGGGTTGTTGCATGGATAGATTGAATGTCCATGCAACAGCTTTGTTAGTATATTGAAGTGACCACAGACTACAGTGAAGACGAATGAAACATACTTTTTTTTTTTGGTTTAATGCATTTTTTTTTTAAATAAAGCTGTTAAATGACACTGTAACCTGTATTACTGGCTCATGTATTTACCGTACTCTTTTGACTGGTACTATAGAGGGAAGATGGTTTCTCACACTTCTTCTCATGTTTGTATCAGTGCACTATGAAACTATAAGCATAGTGTTATATTGTAGAAAATGGCTGCTAGTAATTTTATTTGATTTCTGTATAAAATAGGCCTGATCAAGACTTCAGAAAGTTGGAAAGCAAAACTACTATGTTCATTATTGAGGTAAAGATGACAACTTGCTTTGAATGAAGTGCAATCAACAATGACGGAACAACCTAAAAAAAGCAAGAATCCTGCAAGTTCATTAGCTAATAAGCCAAGCCATTGTAAGTGCTACTGCATTGGCTTCAAATAAACCAAAACTGACGCCAAAAAAAGTGGTATGTAAAGTACAGAGATTTATTTCATTGGCCGAGGTGCAGGAGAAACAGGCGGAAGATGTGTAGACTTCGCACTTTCCTGTTATCAATGGGAAATTGTTTCACCAATACTGAGCCAGGATGGCAAACGGGTATTCTTGTTGAAGGGTACATGTGTCCCACTTGCTGTGGCAAGACGATTGGCTGTAAATATTTATATAAATAAAATGTATGCTCAGTAAGGGTGGCATTTAATGCAAACCAAATATTTGAGTAGAATGAAAATAGCAGAATCACATTTTCAGGGAATGTTTTTAATCTTAAATTGAATACAAAAGAAAGTGATGAAAACATTACATTGTGTTCACAAGTTATTGAGTGTTCCTGCGCATGCAATCAAGAAATTGTCCCAGCAACAATCTATAATCAAATTTTTTCTTAAAACAAGTTAAAGTTGCAGTATTTACAGATGACTGGTGAACCAAAAAGTACACTTTAGAATTCTTCATCTTCAGTCTCACCTTGGATATCTCCAGATTTGAAGCACTTTGTGCAGAAACAAATAGTCCTGTCTGCTCTTCACCACACTTCAACACTCCATCTGTCTGGGGGGAAAAGAACATATTTTAAATCCATACTTACACAATCCAGTAGTCCAGTAAAACCCTGAAATAAACCTAGAAATCTGCACTCCTTATACAAAGATAGTGAGAAATATATTATAGTTATGGTTATGATTTTAACTCACTACCAGGTTAACTTATTGATGTAAATGGAGGCCAGTTTTGAATTGTGCTTCTGCATAGTAAAAAGCATAATAAACAAAAGGACATCTTTTGAAAGGTCCAAAAATATAAGTTTAAATCAATGAATGACTTTATCGCCCATGGAAAATCATTCATCCTATTTCGTGCAAAGTACTCAGTGTCATAAGTTAGTCTGTCCTGGGAATTGGTCTAATAAAAGTCATCTTGAATTTGAAAAAAATATTTGATATACTGAGGCAGCCTAAGTAAAAGACATTCATAAACAAAAACCAATGTCTTTTGACATTAAGAAATACGATTAAATAAGTAAAGTCCAGAGAGTTGAACATGGTAACCTTAGCTTGTGTAAAACATTTGGGCGAACTACTTAAATTCAGTAAATACAATGATAATAATTTTTACATTATTGGGGTCACTAAAAGGAGGATGTGGAAATAATTTGTAAAAAAAGAAGGAAACATCTGATTGATGAAAAAGTATAAGTTTTACAATTAGAAAGAAACTTACCATGTTAGCGGTAACGGCCTCTCTGATCCCTCTGCTCTCTCTGATCTCTCTGATCCCTCTGGTCTCGCTGGTCTCGCTGATCTCGCTGGTCTCGCTGATCTCGCTGGTCTCGCTGGTCTCGCTGATCTCTGTGCTCTCTCTGATCTCGCTGATCTCTGTGATCTCTGTGCCTTTCCCTTTCCCGGGAGCGTTCTTTGTCTTTCTCTTCGCTTCGGGAATGTTGCCGGTGTCTTCGGGACATTCCTGCAACGTCCCAATCAGAAGAGTCTTCTCTGTCGCGCTCTCGATCCCGCTCGCGCTCTCTGTCACGACCCCTGTCCCGGTCTCTTTCTTCTTCCCCAGAACGACTGCTTTTCCTGCGGAGAAATGTGTATTTGTCTCAACCTGTTTCTTTATGGACAACAAGATGTCTGAGGGTCCTGAAGAATAATTAAACAAACCTGTAGCTGCAGTTTCCCTGGATAGAGACTAGACAGTCTTTGAGCGAGGTGACCAGGGCCTGGCAGCGTTCATCTGTATACACTCTGGACTGCTTAATGATGGCAATGGCAGTTAATAGAGTCTCCATGGCCACCCGCAAGTCTCCTGCATTAGGAGGAGAATATATATATAAGAGACAGTAATGTAGTTAAGCCCTTCAATTATGGTTGATAGTATGCCAACTAGGATTATTACAAAACCCTTGAAAAATTGATAACATTTACCCCCCACATACAGTTTATTTAGGCAAAAATTAAAACATAGTTTCCTAAACAGTTACTTATCCTACAATGTCTGTCAAAGCTACAACCATTTTTGGTTAGTTTACAAGAGTGATTGTCAGTATTTTGATTTGGGTTAGTATTAACAGTTTAAGCAGTTGAATTAATTTCTGCTTTGTCATTACAAAAGGTACTTTGTTAATTTAGTAACTTTCCAATTATATACTGTATAACATAACAGATTACCATTTACTTTCCATTCATATTGTAAGAGGGGTGGGAAACAAATGTTGGTTAAAAGAAATGCTCACAAGTCTATCAGTCCTTTCTCCACATTAAGTTTTGTGTTGTTGTACTCCGCAGAATATGATCAGCTTTACTTACCGGTTGTTGCTCCAGACACAGCCTTGCTGATGGCACTGCTGGCAATAGCTCTATTTCTGTTCATCAGCTGCTCAAAATCTGCATCTTGACTTTGAGATGTGCGCCTGAAAAATGTACAGATTGTCATAATTATTTAACCATTTCCACAAGTCATCGCTAAAAATAATAAATGTTATCTCAATAGGGAAGCAAAACATATTACACTGCTGTTTATTTGCTATAGCTTCAAATGTATAAAGGTATTATTCTCACTGTTGTTGACTGTAAGCGTTGCTGCTGGGCCCGTCTGGTGCTGGCGTGAAGAAGGCTGGATTGACATGTAGACTGGGAGGTTGGCTGGGAATATGGACTGGATGAGGAGGGAAATAAGGGGGCGGCATGGCGGGTGGAGGCATGGGTGGAAGCATGGGCGGAGGCATGTGTGGAGGCATGTGTGGAGGCATGTGTGGGGGCATGTGTGGAGGCATGTGTGGGGGCATGTGTGGAGGCATGTGTGGGAAGGGAGGTGGAGGATGACCATGGTAAGGGTTGGGTAATGATGGAAACCTGTTTGCAATTGGATGTGATGGGTAGTGTGGAGGTAAAGGGGAAGGATTGGGCTCCTGTGGTAATAATGAGGGAATCTTGTTCGAAGAATCTGAGACCTTAGGATCTAAGTAACTAATGCGCATGGGTATACCTATGGAGAAAACATTGATTTTGTTAAAGAGGACAGTCATACTTACATCTTGTTATATAATGTTACCTCAATAGCATTCTTAGACCATGTTGTTCTTACGTCTATTTGCCATGTCTTCAAACACACCAAGGTTCTGGCTGGTGGCAAGGCGGCAGTCTATCCTCTCCCCATTGAGCTCACATTTGGGTATTTTTTTAAACAATATTTTCAATGACTCGTTTGAGGTGACCTCTACTTCGGCGAACCTGTGTAACATAGAAGAAAAAACAATTAATGTATGGCTTTAAGTCACTGATATTCATATCTTTAATAAATCAAAACACACATTTCCTTACTTATAAGCAAATACATTTAGAGAAAATACTTTTATTCATAAAAAAGAAATACTAGATCTGCAACCACTCACCCTCTCGACTGGCCATTAATTTTATTCTCAGCAAATTTGATCTCTTTGATGTCCTGCACACCCAACGTTTGAGCCAGGCTCACGATGTCCTTGTCAGTTGTCCACTGGAAGTAGTAGCAGGTTTGCGAAATAGAGGAGGAAAAAATGACAGGGGGGTAGATATTTACTTGTGATCTTGAATGTGATATGGGTACATAGTTCTGTTTCATCTAATCACTGTTCTGCAAGCCTATGTGGATAAAACAACAGAAACGATATTGGACAACACAATTGAAATGTGATTGAAATAAACAGAGAGGGTGTTACTCACCCAGGGGAAATTTCCAATATATATAGCCAGTCTCCTCTGTGGGTGTCCTTTGTCTGGGCATTTCTCTGTTGTTGAGTTAGCCTCCTCTTGAGTAGGGGTCTTGTTAGGACTCGCTGCATTTGTACTGCCTTTCTTGTCCCGATCGACTGAGCCGGTCAAAACAGCATCATAAAGTTCATTTGCTTCAGCAATTGTGTCAAAGTCCTGTGTGGGATGGGAACAAAACAACAAGATACTTATATATGATGGCATGCTGGGTAAGTCAATGTGCAGAGCATTAACGAACAATACACTGCCAGAAGAAATACAAAACTAAGGGTGTGTCAGCTGCTGCAGGAGTGTGGAGTGCATGTGCTTATTTCCATATTTTATAGAATTGCCCATTACTACTACAGGCTTGAATAAAATGATGTGGCATCTAGTTTTTAAACGTGACTCCAAAAATCAAATAGTTCTCTCCACACAACAAATAAAAAGACTGAACAAGGTTCACACAGTTATGAAATGAAAATCAAACCGCTGTTTAGTATTCTATATATAATTGCATATCGGAAACCATTTTTAATACTATATTTTGAAAGCAAGGATGCTTCCTCATAAATACCTAATAAACACAATCTGCTCTTTCTGTGATGAATAATCTGAAACAATTGAACACCTTTTTTGTACTGTTCTCACACAAAGGAAATCGGTCAAGATCTTTGTATAATCTATAACCTTTGAGAAATGTGGTGTTTGGTTTCTTTAATAACCTAAGAAAATACCTGTGTTTTTTCAATAGAAAGGTTTATAATGATGTTGGCAAAATCTAACTTCGTATTAATAACTGTAAATTGAACCAATCGTAATTGGTAGTTGCATGCATGTATGTTGATGTATTGTCTTTCTGTTTAATTAAAAGCGATCAGATAACAAGTTGCATTTAAACTACATCAAAGCAAGGTACGCACAACTTTACATGTACACACTTGCTGCTATCATGTATGCATGTGCAGCGATAAATGTGTGTAAAGGTGAGACTCACTTCGTCGTTTTCATTCAAATCCCCGTACAGATCCATGAGCTCCTTCTGGGCGGCACTTGGTCTGGCTGCAGCAGCCATCCCGTGGGCCGAAGATGATCCAGTTGATGGTACTGGAGCTAACGTTTTGTTTCTTTGTTTTAAGTGTCCTTTGCAAATGCACACTTTAAAAAAATTACCAGTGCATACCGTCAACATATGCAATGTAAAAAAAAAAAAAGGATTTTCGATAACGTTACGCCGCGTTAATAACGTTAGCTTACTTGAACCAACCGCACGATTTTGCACAAAATGACAAGTTAGCTCAACAAAAGACGATGATAAACCGAGAATACAACAAGCGAGGCTCGTCAATAGGTAATGTTTTAATAACCACTTTCAAATAACATGAACGGGCTTTCATGTAAGGGTTACAATACAAATAGTGTTGGACTATTATTGGTTCGCTCTATGATCAGCTAATGCTAGTGCTAATTTCAGTACGTGAATACGAGTGCGTCGGTAACATGTACCCGTTAGCAACAACACACAACATTTGGTTCCTACAGCCACGCTTTTTTTTTCATGTATGATGGCATTGATTATAAAAGATAACTACAAATAAACGAATTAAGTGACAACTTAACTAAATCAGATTGGGGCTGGTTATGTTTTTCTGTGACTTTTGAGGAATAATTGCTGTTACTTTAACAATGCGGTGTTTCCGGTCCTACCTCGATCGTGGTCCGTGTGCTGCTGTGACGCAAAACCTGCTTGTGTAATTTTACTGATTTGAGTCTGACATTCAGAGTTCAGCAGCGTTTTCACGGCGGAGAAGCATTTCACCTTGAAGTCTCTAAACGTTTCAAGAAAAAGGTCAAAATGCTGTCTTCTGTGGTTGCAAGAAAAGTGAGTTATCTTATTATCGTTACAATTAGCTGTATGTTTGTTAAAGTTTGAATGCTAGTTAATGTCGTTGCAATCATATAAATAGACTCTAAAGTGGACGGCTGTTTAAAGATCTCACGCTGATTTACACTATTTAACACGAGTTTAAAGTCATTGTAATGTCGCAACATTATATTAGATGTTGTGGTTGAATAACTAGCGTGCATTGTTGTGTTCAGTCTCGTTACGTAGCATTGACGTAACGCGTGTTGTGCAGCAGGACAGTTAGGACTGCATGGTTTAACACAATTGTTTTTGTAAATGTAGTCTCAAAATGTTTTCATCCTGCTGTGTAGAAATACAGATCTTGAAACCAAATGATTATATCGTATTATATGAAAATTAGTTGAATTTACTTGCAAAATAGGTAGGGGGACAATCAAACCAACACATGTATTGGTGGATAAATGAATATATAGATACATATAATTAAATAAAAGATTGAAGATGAATTCATATATTAAGATTGGTCTCAGTTTGATAGAGTACTGTAAATTCATAAAATGATCCCACTTTACTGTAATTATTTTCTTTACGTTTATGGTAACATAACTTACTATTCTAGTCTTAATATCACATTACTGTTTTAAAAAAAAAAATACAAATATAAATGTGTACATTTTGTGTGAAAGCAGCACTAATTAACCATAGACTGTATATATAAAGTAATTAGCCTACAATATTGTATGATATTTAGATATATATTATTGTCAAAAATGATGTGATATTTCCTGCAACACACTGTACTAATATTTGTCAACGTGTGTGTTTTCCCCCGCCAGCTGGTGTCAGGGGTGTGCCAGGCAGCAATGAGACCTGCGTTCACAGGGCTGGTATCATCTCGTGGTTACCGTGGAGATACGGCAGACGACACCAGGGGAGACCTGATTGAGATCCCTCTGCCTCCCTGGGATGCGCGCCCCGGCGAGGCCATTGACATCAAGAAGCGCCGCCTGCTGTACGAGAGTCGCAAAAGGGGCATGTTGGAGAACTGCATTCTGCTCAGGTTGTTACACTGAAGAGTTTTTCTATAATCTGTCATGTTGATGTGTTGTTTTTTCTTAAAGCAAATCACACATTAGAGCAGTGGTGCAGTACAGCTGTGTCTCAAGTTTAAATTGTACCTTTTTTAAAATTAATTCTTAAAGTGTTTCCTCTTTCTAGTTGAAAATCACAGCATATAAGATGGCTGGGCCAGGCAACAATGGGCACTAAAATAATCGTAAATAGTAATCAGTAGTCATCAGCACATTTTTTATTGTAGGAAAACATCCTACAGGTAATTAAAAGCAGTGTAAGGGGGCAGGAGGGGGAATTTAACTAGGAAAAGCCTAATTTGAGATAAAAAAATCTCCATTTCAGGACTGTCTTGGCCAGGTCTAGTAGCAGCTGTTTCATCCAACATAAAACACGCACATCACAGCACATACCGGAGACAATAGCTTCTAGAATTTCTCAGATGGATACATTTACATAAGTATGAATATGCCTTATAAATACAACATTTCAGTTACATCATTTACAGATGGACAAAAAGGGCCAGATGTGAGTGAGGACCTTAATATTTGTAAACCTCCAAAATCACAGATTTACATGGGAAGTATACAGTAGAACAACTAGAAACTTTGAAGAAGACATCCTCTTAAATCTAGGACAAAGGGATGTAGACAAGGACCAACACCAGAAGCAGGCATTAATGCAACATGAAGAAACCCAAAGAAGAAGAAGAAGCTGTTTCCTGTGTGCTGTCCATTCACCGGTCAATTTAGAGAAAAGCCTGAACCTAATTCCCCATCTCTCTTGCAGCCTTTTTGCAAAGCGATACCTGAACACAATGACAGCGAGCCAGCTGTATCAGTACGACAGACTGATTAATGAACCAAGCAACGACTGGGACATCTACTACTGGGCAACAGGTGAGAGAACATCTCATAGTTTCTCCTCAGACATGTGATATTGCCTCTCAAACAGTACAGTAGACCAGTGGTTCCCAAACTTTTTGTGCCCAAGGCACACCAAAGGACAAGTAAAAATCTCAAGGCACACCTATTGTGCGAAATAGCCCTTATAACACGTGTTATCACTCATATCATGTAAAATATCTGTAAATGTGCATAATTATTTACTAATGCCAAATAAAATGTGACAAAGACAACTATATTACTCATGAAATATTTATTAACGAAATATTTCAGAAATTAATTTGAAACTTTATCAAATTAGGCTTCATCAAAGCACAGGGATGAAATGTATACCAATATAATCTGTGGACTCAGGGCTCGACATTATAAATGGCCCGCTGGCCCGGAAGCATTATTTAGACACCGCGGCCAGCATAACGTACTTTCAACTCGCCCAACAGCTGTTTGCTGCGGAGCGCAGCGCGAGCAGTCTCCCGTGAGCGGGAGCGCACTCCTTCACTACAGACTGTCTCTATCTCTCTCTCTCTCTCTCTCTCTCTCTCTCTCCTCTTGATCGCCCTCTCTCTCTCCTCTCTCTCTCTCTCTCTCTCTCTCTCTCTCTCTCTCTCTCTCTCCTCTCTCTCTCTCTCTCTCTCTCTCTCTCTCTCTCTCTCTATCTATAACTATATATCAATATATCTATCCATCTATCTCTCTCTCTCTCAATCTATCTCTCAATCTATAAGGAACCGCAGTAGACAAAAGGCGTTGCTATAGCAACACGTCATGTTTATATGAAAAGGGGTGGGGTCAATATGACCCGCTGGGCGGAAATAGGTATAAATGGCAATTTTTTTGGGCGATTTCTTCAATCTGACTTCATATTGACAATTTTTAACAACATAGGGTGCTACATAACACACTTTCAGGAAAAGTCACGGACTGGAAGACTTTAATATTTTATTGAAAAAAAGTTACACAGTTCTAGTGTTGTCCTTCAGCCTTCGATGTGTCACGGTCTTATAATTCCCACCTGCAACTGCGTTAACAGCGAAATATGGGGTTCTGTGAGGATTTTTTTTTTAAAGAATTGTTTTTAGGTATAGAGTTTGCCTCTGTATTATGAAATGAGTGCATACAAAGTACTGATATAGTAAATAAAAAAATAATTATTTTTGTGTAGTTGTATATTGCAATAATAACGTATGGTTGACACAAAATCCCACGGCACACCCGGACTTGCCTCACGGCACACCAGTGTGCCGCGGCACACCGTTTGGGAACCACTGCAGTAGACATATGACATTATCATCATTAGTTAGAGGGCTGGCAACACTCCAGTCAGAGGCATTTTAGACATTTAAGGGAATGTTGAAATGCTTTAGATTTTCAGTGCAAAACATTTAAATATTTAATGACACAAATACATTTCAGCTTTGCAATATTAATGTTTACTCAAGTTGCAAATAACACTATTTGCTCTAACAGCAACAGTGATATCAGACTTGCTTCTTTTAAATTCAGTCTGTAACACAACAAAATGTGGAAAAACTGCAGTGGGTATTATACAAAAAGCCAAGGCAATTATTCATGGCTGAGGATGCCTAGATAATTAAATCAGTGTTCTGCCTACAAATAATCTCCACTCCTGTTGCTGTTTTTTCTTCAACGTTCCATTTGGCTCAGACTTCATCCTCATTGCTCATTCCCTGTCCCAGTATAATTTACCCGCTTTATTCATCTCATTTTCCCTAATTTGATTCAGTTATGCGGAACAGCTGAAAAACTCAATCAGTGTGAGTTTAGCACCAACACGCGTCCAAGTGGCTCGACAAAACAAAAGCTGTTGCTTTCTTTACTCAAATCAAGTCTGCATAAATAGTTTTAGTCTCAAATTATTAATGAGATGGTTTCAAATAAACAGAATAATAAGCTGAGCATTTCCAAAGTCTGACCACTGATAGGCTTTGAATTATGCTGTACTGGCCATTAGCAATATGGAGAGACCTGATAGCACAGCGTCTGATTTCTTGTCTTTTAATTTTTATTGTACAATGCCATGTTTTTTTATGCTGCTGCAACACAAACAAATCCCAAATTGGGATCAATAAAGTTCCATCTTATCTCTTATCTTATCTAATGTCTGACAGCAGAGATGTTGTTTGGCTGCTGTTGCCTGTGTGAAGGATCATAACTTTGTTTTTTTCCATTACTCAATAATGAAAACCACAAACATCCAGGTAATTATTTTCCCTAGCAGCAGGAGCAAAAGATCATGTTGAATAAGTAAACGTCAGCCTTTTAGTTTTATGTTGTCAGCTTTTCCTAAAATAGACCAAAGTGATGTCAGGAGGACTCCCCTCTGTGTGCTTGTTGTTCTTTAGACATTGGTCGCAATTAAAACTGTTCTCTTTGTGCTTACAGAGGCTCAGCCCACCCCTGAGGTTTACCAAGGAGAGATCATGGATATGCTGCAGGAATTCACAAAGAACCGTGACCAAGAGCAGAGGTTAGACGCACCCAATCTGGAGTACCTGGAGAAGGAGAGCCAGTAAGACCCAAGGCTCTGTAGACCTGCTCAGAGACACATTAAAGGAGGGGCATGGGGAAATATCAGCGGTATAACCAAGAAACAGCCTCCAGAGGTTAGCTGTGATTCTCCACTTGGATGGAAAATGTTGAGAACACGTCTATCTTGTAATATCCTCTCCATGAAATAATTAGCCATGAAAGCCCCCACCCTATATTTATTTTCATTATATAAAGAAGAACATTTGTGGAAGCTGAGGGAAGTTTGTGGATGGGTTAACGCAGCATAATGTTAGGAAGGGGTTCTTAATATTCTACATGAATTGTACATTTCTGATAAAAACTGTATATTAAAAGTTCTCAATGTGTGAGATGCTTACTGAATAAGCCAGCTTTGATAAATGGTTACAAGCAGATAGTCAGTTATACAAGACGGTTATAAAGAAACACATTGAATCACACATTAGCGTAGCTTGTTGAATTGGCTTGGTTCTGTTCAAAGATTTTACTGTGCCTATTACAGACATGCTGGTTATTTAATAAATGTTGATGTCTACATCTTTTGTCATTTCTATTTCCTCCCACTGAAGGGTTAAATAACACACTAAAGGTTACCATGGATGACCGTATGAACATAATTTGTTGCATAATAAAGGTTGTGTGGCTTGCAGTGTGAGTGTATGGACACCAGAGGGAAGCAGATCACCTGATATCCACTGACGGTCAATCTAAAGCACCTGCTGATTCTGGCATCTCATTGTGAAATCAATAATGCACCTACAACCCATAATATAGCTTACATAGCTTATTTTTCATGCACAAAACAATGTGAGATATCAGTTCACAGCTTCAATATTCATATGGATGTTGAACATCTTTTAAGATGATGAAAGCCAGTTAATAGATCAATAAAATCAACAAGTAGTATGACATTAAAGGATAAAAACAATGCTAACCATGGGAAAGTCTTTGTGTTTTTCATTACAGCTTTTATGAGAAAGTATCAGTGAAATTCTCTGCCGTGCCGAGTCCCCAATTAAAGCAAATATATTTATGCTTTAAGCAATGTAAACAAGGTTATACTTATCTCCTCTGCCGCTGCATCAGTGTGTGTTGGCTGTGGGGAGATTTTCTTGCCTGGCTGTGTGTCATGTTGGTTCAGTGAAACCTTGTACTCAGAGCAGAAGGGAAATGCCCTCTGGCCAGGAGATGTGCACAGAATTTCAAACAGATGTACGCCTGTAGAATCATAATGTGCACATGATCCGCTGTCTAGGTGTTACACAACCATGAAATCAACAGACATGAAACCAACGTTGATGTGCAGTTTATTTTTACATTACATGTTACTTGTTAGACGCTTTTATCCAAAGCGACTTACATACTCAATACTGTGGGTAATCCCCACAGGAGCAATTTGGGGTGAAGTGTCTTGCCCTGGGACACAATGACATGTGTCCTTATCTTATCACTCTGAAGGAAGAATATGTTGAGTCAGAATCAAAGCTTATGGGTGTATGTTCCCAGCTTGTCCTAAAATAGACGCAGGTGATGTCAGAAGGGTTCCCCTCTGCGTGCTCTGTGCCTCCGCCATCTGTGCCACCATACGCCCTCATCAGCGGTGGACAGTGCATATAGCCTACTCAAGCACAGAGCTGTTATTTTTAGGTATATCCATTTTCCATTTTCCAATGCTTGTATTGCATTCCACTTCAAGGGAACATGCTGTATGTTTTACTCTACAGGTGTTTTACTTGACATTTTTTGACAGCCATACTTTTTCGTTTCTTTTAGGATTAGAAAAAAGATCCTCATAGTAAATACAATACACTGTTCAAAATTGAAATACTTATTTCTTAAACAGGTAAAAGTAGCCAATATTTCACAAAAAGACCAGAAATTATGATGGAAACGTCCAAAAGATGAATAAAAACGTTTAACAGATCTTATTTGTTTCCTTTTTTCTCTTAATAATCATCTAACAACCACTCAGAATTATCTAGTGACCCTTTGGAAGTGATTTTTTGTTTTGGAAACGTTGGAGTAAAATACCCTAATTGAATAAAGAGCTGTTAAAAGAACCTCCACCTCAACCAGCTAAGAGTAAAGATGCCGCATCCATTTTAACTATTGAATATTATGTAATATATAAGAGCAGTTGCAGTAGACTTTTTTTAGGCTACTTTTATATATCATTATTTAAGTACACTTTGCGGACAATAATTGAATACTTTTATTTAAGTATGTATTTGGATGCATACATCTGTATTGATTATGAATTGCTGTATCAGCTCTTTACCTTTTATGTGAATTATACAAAACCATGTCCAACCCCTGTTCATAATGCACTGTTCACATGAGGAATTTAAAAGTTTAAATCAATTTCAACTTGTTAACTTGTTGTGCCTGTGTTGTTGTCCTGCTCTACACACAATAATCCTCTGTTGTATCTGAAGCTTGCTGGGTGTCACATTTCCCTGCTTTCAAAGAAAAAAGCTGCCACCTGTGGATCCCACACGCAGGGGGAGCACAAATCCCGTCTTTATGCTCCGAGGCTTGTTTGGAGTGTATTTGTTGCCCACGCACACCCACTGTGCCTATCTGTAGCCCTGCGCTCCTGTCATCCTCCACTGCGGCTTCCTGTGTCGTGACAACTCTCCGTTTCATCCTCAGCCCTCCAGTCCCCCCCTGCCCCCCTGGATGTTCACTTCTTCTCATGCTGTCTTGTTTCCACCTCCACCTCCAGCATCCCCACCCTTCATCTCGTCTTCCCGTGTCTACTGCAGAGGAGCGCAAAGAGAAACTGCTCTCACTGCTAAAACGTAGTGTTACTGACAGGTTTAACTTTGAGGATGGAGGTGTCAGATAAGCTGGTGAATTAAACAAACATTCCTTCTCCACATCACACACAAACAAAGTTTTTCTGTTAGATCTTATCTCGAAGTTGCAGTCAAACGTAGCGTGTAGGAGGCAGAGCAGGCAATTTCCCTAATTCTAGAGATCAGCACCAATTTCCATGTTAATTACCCTTAAAATCCAGGCCCATGCTTGCAGAGTGTGAAATGGAGAGCAGATGTGTATTTCCAGCAGAGTTTCTAATGATTGTGGCTTCATCAGTTGGTCCATGTATTTGCAATTAAACTTCTACAAAAGAAATTGATGCTATCCACAGCCGAAATCTGGCTGAACTGGGATTGACAGTGAGATAGCAGCAAGCCTCTCGGACATGTGTGACTTAGATGAAAACTGCACTTAACATTAATGTGTTAAATGTACACACATCTTTACAGTTACAATATATCTTTACTTAACTACTTCCGTTTTATACTTACAGTCCTTTGCAAGTCAAAGGAAATATTGTATTTTGGCGGCCGACCCCTTGGTTATAGTTGTTTGAGTGTCTAAAATACCTCACAGTATATAACAAGTTACGTTATCCTCTTCTTAAAGGCTTAATTTGAAGACATTTTCGAGGTAACATCTTTATTTTTTCATAACCTTTTCATTTTTAATTTGTGAATTTTAGGAGGGGCCCAAGGTTTAGAACCACTGTACTACAAAAAGTACTAAACATATATATCCTAAAATAGTATATACAATAGTTAAAACTAGCTCCAAGTCATGCTACAACTATAAATAAATAAATATGAAATAATACTGTTTACACATGGTGGTGCATTAGTGTCTATCATTTTTCTTCATCAGTAATGTAGTACATACTTGTGTACCTTAATTACTATTTAAGTAGGATTTTGACTGAGTTTTAATTAGTTACCAACAACCATCTATGAATACATGTATATGTTGTAATATACATTTTAAAAAAGCTTCTGAAAAATTCACAACAATACCAGAATTATCTTTGTTTTATATACACATTTATATTTTTATATACACTGTACAGATTTCAAAAAAATAAATGGTTGATATTTAACATTGTGCACCCCACAGATGTGTAAAGAGAAAAGGGAGTGAGAGAGGGCTGAGTGATACCAAGGACAGACAGATATCAACAACCCCAGTAAATACTGATGATTTTTTCATATTTTTTTCATACAGGACACTTCACAATCATTTATACAGTTTATAAATTAAAATGTTGCTGGTTAACCTCTCTTTAGCCTCAAGCAGTCCCCCAAGAGAACGCCCTAAATCAGAAAAGCCTGTCCAGTAAAATGTAACCAGTCCCTGGCACTTGGCTAGTGACGGGTAAAGACAGGCAAGATTTAGCTCAATTTCTTAAATCTAAAATATACCAAAACCTGACTGTTGTTAACCAATGTTTGAGTTGCATTGGTTAACGTGACTTTCACTAAGCCTTTGGAATGTAATGCTTTGTCAGCAGCACTGGAAATACTGCCTGGTTTCACACACAGGCCAACAGGACGGACAGTGACTGAGTTCCTGGTTATTTTGGGATGCTCCGATGCTCTGCTCTGACCTGAGACGTAGCTAACAGTGATGCAAAGAGGTGATGATTATCTCCTGTCTCACCTTTTTTTCCTCTCCCCCCTTTCTCCATGACACTTGGAGCGGGGGAACACATATGGTGAAGAGACTTGGCAGGGTGTATAAGGCACACACAGAACACTTTGTGCCAGAAAGCATGTGTGCACGCCGGGGGGGGGTTTGGGTAGCGTCAGCTGTGATGCTAAGGTGCCACCCTTCATTATTTTTGGTCTTAGTGAATCAGATCTAAAGGACAGATGGGACGAAATGTTGTAGCTGCTTCTGTTTGAACTTAAACGTTATGTATGGAGAAAGACAGGGTTTTATGAATCTGTCGTAAAGCTTGTTTGTGACATTTTCCTTCGACCTTCCTTCTCAGCTCATGCGGAACAGATCTGCTTCTCTTTTCAAGCCAAGCGTTCTTGAAAACCACACGAGGAAAAAAACCCTGCCACGAAGAGAGGTTTGTTCCAGCATCATTGTCAACAAGTGCAGTGATTTTTAAAGAAGTGACAACTTTAAAAAAACTTATCTCTTTGTACATCTGGATTGTTTTATACAGAATAAAAACGGTAAACAATGTTCTGTATTAAACTGGCAAAATAGAACTCAGTGCAGATATATACACACAGAGGGACTCACAGAGAATACAATCACACAAACTCAAGTTCAAATATTGACACTCACACACATACACACTTCCAGTAGACAAAACGAACAGTGGAATGTATAAAGACTTTCCCCCCAAATAGTATTACTGTCATGTAATTCACAAATGTCTACATGGGGGAGGTCACACTCAGGCAGCGAGGCAAACACCTGGAAGACTGTTTTGTACTTACTTTAAAACCCCAAGAAACTAAAATCATGTTTATGTTGTCCTTGGACTCATAGTGCTCTGTGAAAATGAGTGTTTTGATGCACAAATTAATGATGGAAAAATGTTATCTACATTTGATTTAGCAATATATTAGAGTCAATAACCCTAACAAAGTCATTTACTGCCGGCTATCATAAATTGTCAGTTTACCTAAATCACATTTTATGATTATAGGAGAGAGAAATAAATAAAAGATCAGCTTTCTAGATTTTTCCTTTGAACTGCAT